TGGTTTTCCCCGCTTTCAGGCCTGCATCACGGGCCCGCGACTTTTTCTTCCCTGCAGTTTCACCTCCAGAAGCCCGGCGAAGCCCCGTGCCGCCTGGGGGGGAGGGGGGGGGGGAGAGTGAAGAGTTAAAGGCCCTGCTGTGGCGCGGTGGGTGGTCCAACCCACCCAGCCCGGAGGGGCGGGCCTAAGGTGAGGGCTGTTCTACTGGATAAGGCGAGGTTCAGGGTAGGAGTGTGGCGAGGGGCGTGGCTTTGAGGAGGCATTGTCTCTGGGAGGAGTGGCCTGTTGAGGTGGACCTTGGAGGAGGCGGGGCCTCGGGGAGGGAGTGGCCTGTTGAGGAGGTGGGGCCTTGGGGAGGGAGTGGCCTGTGAGAAGGCGGGGCCTTGGGAAGGAGTGACCTGTTGAGGCGGGGCCTCGGGGAGGGAGTGGCCTGTTGAGGCGGGGCCTTGGGGAGGGAGTGGCCTGTTGAGGAGGCGGGGCCTCGGGGAGGGAGTGGCCTGTTGAGGGGCGGGGCCTTGGGAGGGGCCTGGCCGGAAGGCACCGTGGAAGGGGCCCTGCTCACCCGCTGCAGCACGATGATGTCGCGGTCTGTGAGCTTCTCCCCGTTCACAGGGTCCACCATATCCTTCCGGATCAGCTTCTCCACACACTCCAGGGTGACCACGGCCCCCCTGCGGCGAGGGGAAGGTGGGGACACCGCTCACACGCCCCGCCCAGGGGGAGAGCCACACCCCTGGCCCGCCCCGCGCAGGTCCCCGCCTGCCACCCCCACAGGGACTCACGAGGGCCGCAGCACGGCGCACGGCGTGGCGTTGCTCAGACTGTCCCGGGTCACGGCGCACACGTAGCGCTCACTGCGCGTGATGAGCCCCACGCGGTCCACGGAGCTGTCCAGAGGCGTGAACCGCACCGGCGTCAGGTCGGACATGCGCAGAGGCTTCCCGGACATGGGGCAGGTCACCGTGCGCGACTGGAGGAGGGGAGAGGCGGGGCTGGGCCAGGTGCGGGAGGAGGGGGCCCCAGGGAGGGTGCCCTGGAGACGCTGGCAAAGTGGGCGCAGGGGTGCCTGCCGGCAGGGGGTGCTCACCGGCTTCTCCAGCTTGGTGGCTTTGGCCTCGGGGGTCAGCGACGGGATCCAGAAGCTGGGCAGCATTTTGTCCTTGTCCTTGTCCTTGTCCTTGCCCGCGGGGCCGGCGGCGCTGGGACCCGCCTGGGCATCATCTACAGGAGGCAGAGGGGTTCCAATGCGGTGCCGAGGTTAGGTACCTGGCCCTGGGGACCCCCACCCACCCGCAAGCCTGCCCCCCCTCACCTGGGCCGGTTCCCGAGGCAGCCTTGGGCGTGAAGGGGTTGAGGGGCCGGCTCACGATGGCCGCCTCCTTCTCCAGGAAGCCCCGCACCTGGTCCTGCGTGGCCGCCCGCTGCAGCTCCTTCCGCTCCTCCCGCCGGGCGCCCCGCTGCTTCTCGTAGGCCTGCGGGCAGCGGGGACAAGTGCGCAAGGCCCTGCTGGTGAGCTCACATCGAAACCCCCAACACACCCCGTGCCCCCTCCTCCCCGCCTCACCTTCAGCTGCCGGGCGATCTCCTTCTTCTGGTGCAAAATGTACTCCAGGATCGCCTCGCGCTCATACAGGTAGCCGTCCGGGCTGCAGAGAGGACGGAGGAGAGAACATGGGCACATGGCTCCCGCCCGGGGCGCCCACAGACCATCCACAGGCAGCGGCTCAGCGCTCAGCTCAGCTCCCCGAGGTGACCACACTGTCCTGACCCTCCTGGCTCAGTCACGCGCTCTGAGCGCAGGGAGAACCTCCTGCGGGAAGGGTTACTCAGCAGGCTGGGCTGCCCACACCCCGCACCTTCCAAGGGGCCGGCCCTGGATGGGCTCCTGGGAGGGACCCCCTAAGCCCTCCTGGAAGGGTGACTTTGTCCCCCTGGGGGTTGGGACATACGAATCAACTGGACCTCTGGAGGGGATGGTCATGTCCGCGTGACCAACCTCCAATAAGGACCCTGGACATGGGGCTCTCAGGTGGGCGTCCCTGGTGGGCGGTGCTGGAAGAATTAAGTGCTGGTCTCCTTGTGCCTTTTCCCTCTGCTGATTTTATTTTTTTTATTATTTTTTAAAATAGAAATATTTTATTTATTTCAGAGAGGAAGGAAGAGGGAGAGAGAGATAGAAACATCAATGATGGGAGAGAATCATTGATCAGCTGCCTCCTGCACGCCCCACACCCGGGATCGAGCCCACAACCTGGGCATGTCCCCTGACTGGGAATCAAACCCGAGACCCTTCAGTCCGCAGGCTGACGCTCTATCCACTGAGCCAAACCGGCTAGGGCAGTGGTCGGCAAACCGCGGCTCGCAAGCCACACGCGGCTCTTTGGCCCCTTGAGTGTGGCTCTTCCACAAAATACCACGTGCGGGCACGCATGTACAGGGAACGTTGTGGAGTGAAAGAAGATGTAGTGTCGAGGATTGAGAAAGGTATGTTGAGATGGTTTGGACATACAGAGAGGATGAACGAAAGGAGATAGACGAAACGAGTATGCAAGACGAGTGTGGATGGGAGAGCTGGAAGGGGTCGACCTCAGCGAACGTACCTCAATCAGATTGAGGACGTTTTTAACAAAGGCCAGCTTAGGAGTACCCTAGTTAAGTTAATAACAATGTACCTACCTATATAGTTTAAGTTTAAAAAATTTGGCTCTCAAAAGAAATGTCAATCATTGTGCTGTTGATATTTGGCTCTGTTGGCTAAAGAGTTTGCCGACCGCTGGGCTAGGGCATTCCCTCTGTTGACTTTAATCTGTATCCTTTCCCTCTAATCAACTGGCACTGAGTTCTGTGAGGCCTTCTAGGGGCTCAGTGAACTGAAGGTGGCCGCAGGGACCCGGGGCCACAGTCCACTCCCATCACCGTCTCTGTAACAGACCTGGGACCAAGCCCACATCCGGGCACTGGGCCAAGGGCCGACACTTATGACCTCGCGGGAGCCTTTGCTGGGTCATCGGAGGCAGGTAACGGGGCGTGCTCCACAGGCCAGCTGTTGTGATGGGCCCGCCCCTCTATTACAAACGTATTCTTTCCACGCCCCACCATGACACCTGCAGGATCATGCCACCTCTCAGACGAGGACCCTGAACCTGAGAGGTGGTGGCTAGACCCACTCCGACAGACCCCTCCCATGTTCCCCTGCCCTCGCCACCCACGTGCCCAGCTCACGTGACGACAGGGTCATGGCAGGGCTGCAGAGAGAGGCAGCAGCAGTCGAAGTCCTTGACGGCATCCCGGCTCAGTCGAATGTTCTGGGTCCCGTAGCCCGAGGCCGCTGGGGACAGACAAGAAAGGGGATGGAGAGCCCCGCCAGTGTGACTCAGTGGTTGAGTGTCGACCTATGAACCAGGAGGTCACGGTTCAATTCCCAGTCAGGGCACGTGCCCGGGTTGTGGGCTCGATCCCCAGTGTGGTGCCTGCAGGAGGCAGCCGATCAGTGATTCTGTCTCATCACTGATGTTTCTATCTCTCTCTCACTCTCCCTTTCTCTCTGAAATCCATAAAAATATATTTAAAAATTTTTAAAAAGAAAAGGGATGGAGAGAGAGGAGACACGCCGCTCTTCAAACAGAGAGAGGCACTGAGAACTCAGAGGTGAGGAGCTTAGAGAAACAGGCAGTCAAGAGTGGGCTGTGGGCCTAGCCAGCTGGGCTCCGTGGATAGAGCGTTGGCCTGCGGACCGAAGGGTCCCGGGTTCGATTCTGATCAAGGGCACGTACCTCGGTTGCAGGTTCCTCCCTGGCCTGGGCCCTGGTCGGGGCTCGTGTAGGAGGCAACCAATCGATGTGTTTCTCTCACGTCGATGTTTCTCTCTGTCTTTCCCTCTCCCTTCTACTCTCCCTAAAAATTAATGAAAAAATATCCTCGGGTGAGGATTAAAAAAAAAAAAAAAAAAGAGTGGGCTGTGTGTGTCTGTGTGCTGGGAGCAAGGACCGCACTGCCCACAGGAAGGTGTTAACCAGCGGGTAGGCGACAGGCTCCGGAAGCCCTCTGGCTCTGACCGAGCTGCGGAGCCTGACCGCCCGGGGCCTCCGTCTCTTCTTCGGGAATATTGCTATGGCAACAGTGACCCGTCCACGGGAGGATTAACTGTGTTCACCTACAGAGCGACCTAAGGCGGTGCCCATCGCGTGGGGTGGGGGAGGGGAACAGGGCTGTCACAATGTGGCCGTGACCACCAAGGGCAGAGAGACATGTGCAGAAAGCGCAGTCAGAGGTGCCAAGCGAGACGGTGGCTTCGAGACGCATCTGTCCCCTCCCACCCAGTACCTGTGTCCTTCTTCTTCTCGTGGTAGGTGTAGACGGCCCCCGCCGTACAGTTCTTGCCGTGCCGCGTCATCCTGGGGAGGGGAGGAGGGGCAGCTGGAGGGCCGTGGGGGCCAGAGGTAGCCGCGCAGGGACAGGGAGGACGGGCCTTCACGGCCCTCGGGGCTGAGCTGGCGGTGGGGCAGGGGCGGACAGTTTCCCACACGTTAAATGCTTAAGGAATTCCCGCACGTTCCAAAAGAGAGACATCGCTTTACCTTGAAAAAGACCCGGAGTTTGCTCACAGAAGTGGGTGTCCTGCTGGCAGGGGTGCGCCTTAGGAGGTGTGGGAGGAGTTACCTGAAATCAGATGGAAAGTTCTATTTATTTTTAAATACGTTTTTATTGATTTTAAAGGGAGAGGGAGAGAGAAACATCAACGGGCTGCCTCCTGCATCCTCCCTACTGGGGATCGAGCCCACAACCCTGACCTTTCAGTTCATGGGACGACACTTAACCGACTGAACCACCCCAGCCAGGGCTGAGGGAAAGCTCTAGCACCAGCTGTGGGTGGGTGAGGCCCTGCACTGTTGGGGTCCAACCCCAGCAGGTCCAGGGGTTCCCAAAGGTGTGGATGGAGTCGGCGAAGAAGGAATGACACGGAGACAGCATTCAGTTGATCAGCAGCCTAGCCAGGTTCTCTAGCCAGGTTCTGTTCTTATTCTCCTGTTACATCTGTATTTATACCAGTTGATTTTAATCCTACCCATTCTATTCCAAAGGTTAGGGTGTTTGTTATCTCCATTCCAAGGTCACTACTCTATTGTTCTGTTCAGCTACAAGGAAGTAACTGAAGGAGATTATCCTAAGTAAAGATTATGTAGCTTAAGCGTGACTGCTAGTAGTTAAAGTGATTAACTACCCGCCTGGCACTTAGTTAAGGGGTTTTACTGATTTATTTCCTTCCTTAGTCCTGTTAATCCCTAACACCAGGGAAAAATCCCCACCTGGGGAAACAACCTTTCCCGGAGAGGTGACCTTGGTTAAAACACACAGCGCTAAGTAGGGGAGCAAACATATTAAGAACAGTATGCCATATACACCAGGTCCCTTGAAACATATGCTGTGCAGATGTTTCTTCCCTGCAGCGACTGTGTCAAGCAGCAAGGATGGACCGGCTCCCGGCACTGCACACCGGCCCTGCGGCGCCCGGCTGACGTTCAGGGTGCGCGTGTGCGTGTGCTTGGTCGGCCTACGCTGATGTCAACTGAGGGCAAGTTTCTGGGTTCACTTAGCCTTTCTCGTGGGTGAAGCCTCATGTAAGCAGAGGGGGAATCTGCTTTACCCTCAAGTCGATCCCAATGTATCCACTGCAGTAAATTCCGAGTTTTCAAAGCAAGCGGCGGAGTGGAACTGACTGCACGTGGAACTGGCAGATCGACACGAAGAGACCAGCGACGCAAGAGGAAAACGAGCAAAGGACTCGGAGACGCAGCTGACAGAAGCCGCTCAAAGACCAACAAGGGCAGAGCTGCTCGGAGTCCCGTCAGATGGAAACGAGTGAGGCACCATGTGACACTTGGCCGGGCCAGCGGGCACAGCTCGGGAAGGTGGAGAAGGCCAGGCGGTGGGGATGGGGCCGCGGGAACCCGCGGGTGACGCTGCGGGAAGAGGGGACGGGGTCAGCCTTTCCTGGAACGGGCTGTCGGCGCTTCAGCAAAGTGAGCGTAGGCCCATCTGCACGGGGGTGTATGTGCCCCAAAGCCAGTCTCAGAGAGACCAGCAAGGGAGCAAGGCCACAGCAGCGTCCCTCACAGTGAAGGGGAGTCAAGGGCAACGGAACGTCCCCCTCCCAGGGAGGATGGGTAGTAACTGCCCCTCACGGAGACCAGCCCGAAGATGCAACTGACTAGGTGTGTGCAAAGCATCATGGGTAGATCAAAAAAACACAATGCGGCCCTGGCTGGTTTAGCTCAGTGGTTAGAGCGTTGCCTGTGGCCTGAAGGGTCGCAGGTTGGATTCCTGGTCAAAGGCATGTGCCGCGGTTGCAGGTTCCATCCCTGGCCCTGCTCGGGACTCGAGTGAGAGGCAGCCAACAATGTGTGTCTCTCCCATCGATGTTTCTCTCCCTTCTCCCTCTCTCTCCCCTACTCCAGCCCCTCTTCTACTCTCCCTAAAACATCAATGGAAAAAATATCCTTGGGTGAGAATTAACAACAACAACAAAAGGAGGAACTGCTGGTCCTGCAGCCTCTACCCAGGAGGCCCCACAAGGGCCAGCCTTAGGGATCTTGGACACAGTGTGTCCCACACGTGGTAATTTCATCAAGTTCCTCTCTTCTCCCCCGTTCCCCGCTCCCTTCCACTCTAAAAAAATCAATGGAAAAACTATCCTCACTCCTTGGGTGAGAATTTAAGAAACAAAACAAACAAACAAAAAAACCCATAATGCTGGGTGCAAGTAAGAAGTTAAAGAAGATCAGCCCTAGCCAGTCTGGCTCAGTGGATAGAGGGTCGGACCACGGAAGAAGGGTCCCAGGTTCGATCCCTGTCAAGGGCATGTACCTCGGTTGCAGGCTTGATCCCTGGCCCTGGTCGGGGCGCGTGTGGGAGGCAACCAATCGATGTCTCTCTCTCACACTGATGTTTCTCTCTCTGTGTCTCTCCCCCTCCCACTCTCTCTCTCTAAAAAAAGTGAGGATTAACAAAACAAAACAAAAATTAAAGGAGATCACTAACAATCTACAGGCGCCCAAACGATACATTTTAAAGAACTCCTACAAACAGCAGCAATGCACATATGAAAGGGTTGCCCGTGTAGGGGAGGGACTGACCCGGGGATAAGCAAGAATAAATCAATGGGACAAAGCGGTTACCGGGGGCCGCCTGCGGAGGGCTAAGCAAAGTGGGCGTTCCGGGGCCGAGCCCCCCCGCTGGCCCCCCCCCTCAGTGTGGCCCCTAGGCGCGCTGGGCCTCTTTTCGAATCTCAGTTTCTTTTGGGGTCTCCAGGGGGGTCTTAGCTGAAGGGGCTGGGCCGGCTGTGAAGGCCATGCGCAGAGCTTGGAACCACACAGGAATTTTCTTTTCCCAGCCGTGGGCAAACTTCCGCCCCCCGGGCCGGATCCGGCCCGTTTGAAATGAATAAAACTAAAAAAAAAAAAGACCGTACCCTTTTATGTAATGATGTTTACTTTGAATTTATATTAGTTCACACAAACACTCCATCCATGCTTTTGTTCCGGCCCTCCGGTCCAGTTTAAGAACCCATTGTGGCCCATCAGAGTCAAAAAGTTTGCCCACCCCTGTTCTATGCTCTGGTTCG